TATTTGGATTTTGTTACCAGAGTCACACTTATTTGCTAAAAGAGTTTTCCAAGCAGTGTTATGGTGCGTGGGCATCTGCCTTATCTCTCAGAAGAACTAAGAAGATGGTGCTAAATGGATCAGAAGAACACTGCTTGGGAAACTGGATACATCTGAAAAGGTTCTAACTCACATTTTTATTATAGAAATTGCTCCATTTTAAAGGTTAAACATCATATTATCTTTTTTAACATAGTAAAACTGTTTATATTTTCTTTTTTCCAAAACTGAAACTAAAATCAAGGCCTTAAAAGAAATTATAAGAGAAAAAAAATGATGTTACAGCAACTGGACAATTAAAGATGATTATCTAGTTCATGAACCACAAGTGCTAAAACTACAGCCTGAATATGAAGAAAATATGACTTTTTAAAGTCTCCATTTCCACTCTGCCCATTATTGACTCACTGCTTTCAGTGACTTCAAGAGTCAAAGTACTCTCCCCCAGTAAAACATTTTACAGAAACCTATAAAACCTATGCTGTGCATACAGAAGCCAGCAACTAATTACAAATTCTGTATTGCGTCCTGTGCCAAGTCACACTTGTGTGCCACTCACAGATGGGCTGAGCCAATTTGCACTATGGGAACCTACACTGTATGATAGAGTGATGCCAGGCATGGACTTTGCTTCTAGGAACAGAGATCTGAGTGGGCTATGCTACTCCCGACTGTGTGTCACCTCTTTGACCTTTACATGCCTCCATGGAAACTTGCTTGTAAAACAGACACATTAATAGTGATGCCTTGAGGTTTAAATGGGAGGACATACAGAAAAGTCTTAGTAGAATGTTGATGAGGCTCAGAAAATGATACCCAAAGTGTGGCAGCTGGATATACTGAGGCCTTTTGATGAAGAACTAAGGAATATTGGACCATCTCCTAGTACCACTTCTTGCCCTTCTTTTTGCCCCAAATTATACTGAGTAGCTTTCTCTGAAGTTCCCCTGTATACCTAGAGAACAAATCCATTGAAAGGACAGACATACAATTGCCTTCTATCCCCTCCCTAACAATTCATCTATCAAGGAAAAGCAAGCTCACAGCATAAAAGAAACTCAAAATTCAATATCATACCCAGCACCCAAACAAACTCTCCCAGGTTACTGGCCTCCAGGTCTGTTCATCTCCTCTAAAATTAGTTACTCTTCATGTAAAGTTGTCTACATGGCTCTTCCCTCTTCCTTAGGAACAGAGTAGATGAGACTCCATCCTCTGGCCCTTCCTTGAGTTTCATTCTTTGTGTGAATTTCAAGTGCTTGTATATTAATAAAGTCACATGCCTTTTCTCCTGTTAATCTATTTAAGAAATCAAATTATTGGACCTTTATAGGGGAGTTGGGGAAGTTCTTTTTCCCCCTATAGTGTATAGGTAACAGAAATAGCGGTCTTTCACTAATTTATTCAACAAAGCCCTAAGGAATACCACTAGATTTCTGGGGATAAAGTAATAAGAAGATAAATACAGATTCATCCCTTGATGGAATTTGCAACCTAGGAGGGAAATAACATTGAACTCTTAAGTAGTGCTTATTATGATTTACTGTTACTGTTAACACATTACTAGATCTCAGTTCCCCCTAAAGACAGGCCCCTGCGTGGAAGGCTTGACCCCCAGCCATGGGGTAATAGGGAGGTGGTGGGACTGTTCAGGGGTGGGGTCCAGTGAGAAGTCTCCTGGATACTGGGACCCCAGCCCCTGCCGCTTTCTTTATTTTGTGTCCTGGCCATAATGCAAATGGTTTAACTATATGCCACTGCATCACGTGCTGCCTTGCTTCAGCCCCAAAGCAACAAAGTAATCACAGACTGAAAGCTGTACAACTGTAGCCCCAATAAACCTTTGTTCCTCATAACCTTATTATCTTAGGAATTTGTTACAGCAATGGAAAGCTGACTAACACACCTAGTAATACATACTGAATGATCATTTTCTTTCACTGTGAATTTACTCATTTAATTCTTGCCACAGCTAAATATATAGGTAGGCTGGCCAATGGAAGCTGAAGATAAGGATACCAGGTATACAACAGGGGTAACGTGCATGTGGCTACAAGGCCGGGGGGGCAGAACAGGGGTTCTCACCCATGCAGTCTGGCTCCAAACTGTGTCCTCTCACCAGTGAGGGCCATCTTTCTGAGCTGTTGTTGGCATGATCTCATATTACTCATCTTCCCTGGCCAACCTCACCCTCCTCTTGACTTCTATGAGTTACTCTGTTCCACAGGCAGCCCTGCTTTATCCCCTAGTTCCCACTAGCCAGCTAGTGGGTTTATTCATCAAGGCAGAGAAGAATGGAGTCTTGCTTTATTAAGTTTTTCTAATACTTTATTTTTTTAATTGGTAACATGTATGTAATATATGATTCCAATATAATACAGAATCTGAAGGCACAGAAGGATATATAATAACAATTAGTTCTCCTTTCTACACAATGTTATTGTTTTTCTAAATAGATACAAATTTATAGCAGAAAATATATACTATTTTGAAAACTAATTTATTTTTTGCTGAACAACAGTTTGGAGGTTAAGTTCATAAAAAACCTGATAACATATAAATCTATAAACACATACACCTCACTTCATTTTTACTAGAGTTGGAAGAGTGTTATATAATTTAATCGGTCCTGAATAAATGGATGTTTAATAGATTTCTGCTAGTCAATGATACTACAGTGAATACTTATTTACACATCATTTCCTTTCTCATTTTTTGTAAGATTTATTTTATTTTTAATTATGTGTCTGTGTGTGGCTGTGCCTGGGTAAGTGAATATGTATGTAGCTGCCTGAAGAGGCCAGAAGAGTACACTGAATCTCTGGAGCTGGAGTTACAGGTGGTTGTGAGACACTTCATGTGGGTGTTGGGAACCAAACTACAGTCCTATGCAAGAGCAGCACACCCTCACCCACTGAGCCATCGCTCCAGCCCCTCATACATAATTTCTTACATTGCAAGGATATAACTGGATAAAATCTTACAAGTGGAACTGCTGAGTTCAGAGGTATAAACCTTTTACCATTATAGAACTAGCTGAATTATTCTCCACAGGAGTCACACCAATTTACACTCACCTAAATGGCAGGAGATAGATCATCACCGAGTTTGACTTTATTTTTCTATTCTCATCAAAGTCACTAAAATGTTTCATTTTACCCACTCTGTAAAATGATCCCATTTTAACTTTCTCTTATTCTTATTAGATTTAGGATCTTCTCCTGCCTTTCAAGAGCCAGCTGTATCTCCTTCACCTGTGACTGTGGCTTGGAACCCTCACCCAGTTTTCTTTGCTAATGGGATTGTAGGCATTCTGCATCTATGAAAGAAATCCAACCTTGGTAAATTGCAGATATTTTCTCTTATTGCTTATTGTCTGTCATTAGAGTTATATTTGATTTGTAAATAGTGCTGATTTCTTTCAACTTGTTCATTTTCTATCTTTTGGTTTTATGCTTGGAAAAATTCTCTACTTAGAGAGTATGAAAATAAATATTCTTTTAGTGATTCTGCCTTAATTTTCAAAATTTAAATCTCAGAAGCACCAGAATTTATTTTAGTGTATAAAAAGAGTTTAGATCAGTATCTTTGCTCTAGGTGTTTATATACCTGTCACAACACTTTTTTTTATTAAAAAAATCCTTGTACCACTGATTTGAAATGCCAGCTTTATTATTTATAAAATAGATACTGTATGGAATAGATCTGTTTCTGGATTTTCTGTTGTTCTGATAATCAGTAAACATATACAACAGTTTACTTTAGCAACTATGTTTCTATGATATATTTTATTATCTGTTAGTGCTAGCTCACTATGTTATTTGTCTTTTCCAGAATATTCCTGCTGTTTTGGGGAATTTAGAATCATCAATTGGTATTTTTCTTATAATGTTATATGATGTTTTTTTCTATGTTATATGTTAGGGTAAAGTTGACACCATTAGGAATTCAATCTTTTCCATGCATGAATAGTGTACACTTTTGCAACTGGTTCTAAGTCTTTTATCCTCTCTCCCTTTTTGGTGAAGCTATCACTTTACAGTATTTTCCCTCCCATATATGCTACTCTTGGAATTAAAGAATGCATTACTGAAATTCTTAGTGATATAATATTGTGAGTCTTATTTCTAACAGATACGGGAATAAAATTGTTAATTACAGTTTATAAAAAGGTAATCTTTTTGTTTTTGCTTTGGTTAAATGCCAGATTCTTTTTTTTTACTAGATTTTTTTAATAGATATTTTTGTGAGGTTCACACAATATAATTTGATGGTATTTAGAGCTCCTTCCCTATCTCCACCTCCTATTAGTGCCCCCTACCCAATTTGTATCTCCTAATGTCCATCCACTGGAGCCACAAGAATCCCATGCTTGAAAGACACTGTCTCTGTCTCTTCCAGCAGCCATCTGTTGCCACAGTTCCCTTAGGTGGTGTTGGAGCATCTTACCTCCTTCCTCATGTCTATGCTGAGATTTTTTTTCCTGGTTTGAGCTTGCATGGGCCTTGTGTATGCTGTCACCAATCCTGTGAGTTCAAATGAGTAACTGACCACTTGTCTGGACCACCTGTTTCATTGTGGTCATCTACCACCTCTGGCTCTTACAATCTTTCCACTTCTTCCCCAATGATTCCTGAGCCTTGGGAGGCAGAAGTTTGATATAGGTGTCCTAGTCAGGGATAAGCACTCTGTAGCATCTTATTCTCTGCATACTGAAATGTCTAATTCTTGAAATTTAGTAAATTATAGCCCTATAGCACATCTTTTTAAAAAAAGTCCAGCTAAGAAATGTTTTCCTACTAAAATGTGTCTGCATGAAAATTGGACTTTATTTTCATGGACTTTTAGAGAACCATATTAGGTTCATCTTTGATATTGGCAGTACATAGATTCTAGTAATATCATGTTATAAATTTTAATGCATATTAAAATTTTAAATAAGGTAAGCCTGTAGAACTTACCTCCTAGGTTCATACCAGCTTGAAGACATTTCTGAAGTCTGCAGGCAGGACAATTCTTTCTTCGAATCTTATCGATGATACAGTCATTTCTTCCAGCACATAAATAGTTGTGTTGCCCTGATTTAATAATAAAAAATAGTTAACAACTATCACACTAGTATTAAATATTAACACATACAATCAGAATATGATTCTTGTCCTTTCCTACTTTGGTATTTCTTCTTCAAAGTAGAAGGTGAAGAGAATTTATGGGCAATATGGACAAGAAGGTGGTCAGCTCAATGGAGTTGAGACTTCTGTTTGTGTCTGAACAGGTTCTTCCATAAGAAGAGGAGCCACCTTTCCCACTGGTTGATTTCTGTTGACAGCTGCATGGATTCAGGCAACAGTGCAAATGTCCTTCAGACATGATAACTGTGCCAATGCAAACAAAGGCCCAGCTGCAGCTGTAAGTCACAAGGCCTATCCCACCATCAACCATGCAATTATACTGCAAAGACTTTCAAATGTACACTTGTGAATATTTAAGTCTTTCATTCTGTAAGCTTACCTGTGACTAAACATAAATCAGATATGGGCACAGCACAGGCTTAGGGAGTGGTACCTACTGGCAGAGTATGAAATTGTAGCTTAGCTCTATTATCCATTTATTTATTCAAAAATGTTTACTGAACATCCAGGAAGTGCCAGACACTTGTAGATGCAATAGGGGTGTAACACGGCTGGCAGGTGTCGCTGCTCTTGTTAACTTTCACTCAGCTCGTGGGGAGAACAGACAATAGACAAGGCAGTCAGATATAATGAGTAAGAGGTTAGACAGTTAATATGTTCTAGAGAGGAAGGTACATAGTCACCTGGTGGTTAGAGTATACTAGGAAGCCCTCACAGGAAGGTGAGTGTTGAGTAAAGATGTAAAGATACTTCAAGGTAACTATATGGACATCCTTGTAGAGGGAGAAAAACAAATGAGACAGAGGGAAAGAGAGGTAGGGGGGTTACTGTACTGGGGAGGTACTAGGAACAGCATGCGTACTGGAATGAATGAGCAGAGGAAAGAGTACAGAGTAAAAGGAGATGAGGATCCATGGTTCACATGGTCTTAGGGGGTCACAGTCAAAGGTTTGGATGTTACTCTGAGTGAGAGGAGAAGTCACTGGACTCGAGGGCTTAAGGTCTTAATTGAGGACAGAGGCCTTAATCTAGGAGACGGGTGAAAGGGACTTGGGTCAGTATGATGGGATAAATGGAGCCAGATCCTTGACAAATACTTAAGGTAGACTATCATCTAATGTAATCAAAACACTTTAACTTAGAGTTATACTATTTGTAATATTATAGCAAATCTTAATAACAATAAAATAATAGTAATAAAATAGGGAAATATAACAAAATGAAGAAATTAAATTCCACTGTCACAATAACCTAAGGTTTTTTTTTTTTTAAAATGAACTCTCTTTTGTTTCATTTGTTCTATTTGAGACAGCATCTCCCTGTAGCCCCAGCTGACCTGGTACTGTTGGGTAGACCAGGCTGGGCTCAATCTCACAGAGATTTCCTGCCTCTGTCTTCTGAGCGTTGGGACTAAAGGCATAGACCACCATGCCCAACCTCTTAACTGAAGGTTTTTAAACTTTTAAACTTTTATTTTATTTTATGTGTATTCATGTATTGCCTGCATGTAGGTAAGTGTACCCGTGTGGTGCAATGCCCGCGGAGGTCAGAAAAGGCTGTTGGATCCCCTGGGACTGGAGTTACCGATAGTTGTTAGTTGCCATGTGAGTGCTGGGATTCGAACCCAGGTCTTCTGCAAGAAAAACCAGTGTTCTTAACCACTGAGCCATCTCTCCAGCCCCAAACTGAAGGTTTTTAATGAATATACAAAAGCAATAAAAATCCATACTAAAGATAATGAAAGATTAATATAACAGAGAACCTTCTACTTTTAAAGTAAAAAAATCTGAACCCCTAATAAAGTATAATCTTACTTAAGCCTTAGGACAAGTCTCCAGCATGGGTCAGGCAGTCATTATTACTGACTGCTCTTCTTCACAAGGAGAGGCTCTCTCTAGAATTGGTAAAGTGACTTTCCAAAATGGTAGAGTTGGAGCACAATTCAGAAAGCCTGATGATATTGCCGTACCTTGAGTCCAGAGGGTTTTCTAAAGAGCAATTTCCAATGCAATTTACTGGTGGTTTAATAGAATGCAGAGTGCTCTTTGGAACGTTCTTTGAGTCAAGCGCTCCTGGTTTACCAGGCAGCATTGCCACTGTAAACTGGCATCGTGTGCCTTTTACATAGCATGAGAGTTAATGCCCAACCACAGATTTCATCTACAACTCACAATGAACTGAATAAACTTTAAAGCCCAAAGAAATAACTAAATGTTAAATTTTAATTTATTTCAATTTACCAAGGATTTATGGGGGACCTCCTATGTGTGCAAGGCCCTAGGATATTTGTATAAGTATTGGTCTCATGGGTTGTAAATTTCTTTCCATTCTATAGATTGATAATAAATGTAACTAAGTCATGTAGATTGTAGGTATATAAGAAATGTGCAAGAAATCCTCTGTACTTTATATATGCATTGGAAGATTTTTTCCCTCTGGTTGTCCTAAAAGGGTTCCAAAAGCTGGGAATTATTTTTTTTTTAAAGATACAGGTTCTTGCAATGACTGCAGAGTGGTTTCCTTCCCTGTAGAATATTTTATCTTCCATAGAGAGTGCAGAATTGTAGGAGAGGAATGCAGATAGCTCACAACAGATTACAGAAAATTCTGTCACCTCTTTTAAGATGTACAAACATTAAAGATTTGATTGTACCTACACAAATGTGTGATCTGTATTTCATCCCTTTGTTCCTGTTATAATAACAATAAGAATAGATTAAAAAAATGGAGACTATACCCGAAAGACCTCAATGGTGATCATTTCCCTTTAAAATTTTTTTATTGATTTTCGTGCATTTAATACAACAGTTCTTAACCAAATTTAGACCCCCCCTCCCATTCGTGCCTCTATAGCTCCCCCTCCTCCCACTGGGCCTCATGCATTCTGTCATATAAGTTAAGTCCTATCTGGTCAAACATTTGTAACCAGATGTCCTTCCATGCAAGTTCATCCACTGGAGTCTAGTCAGCCTATCTAGAAATCTTAAGATCAACTTTTCCTCACCCAGCACTAATCAGTTGCCAACAGTTCCCAGGCTAGGGCAGGGGCCCACAGCCCATTTCTCTTGCTCTACTCTGAGCCCTTATCTGAGTGAGTCGGCATGGGTCTTGTGGATCATCTCCCTTTAAACCCTGTGCTCTCGCAGTGTTGAGATGGCTAATACAGAAGAAAGTACATCTTAGGCCTCATGGGGTAAATATTTTTTACAGGAAAATGATCACATTGCTGACCAGACAGCAGTGGCCAGGAATGACAAGCCGAGGGACGCATACTTCATTTAGCAGGCACCGGGATGTTACTGCAGATTCCTGATCACAATGTCAGGTCCAGAGCCATGTTCCAGAAATATTAATCTTAAGGTTATGTGGCAGGTTAGTAGAATGGAAGTAGGGACACTATTACAAAACCACAGTTCTCAGAGATGTATACTAGCTGTATACTAGCTAGCATTTATAGCCACAGTAATAGTCTTGGGTTAAAAAGAGATCCAAGTGGATAAAGAAGATAAATTTGATTTTTCATTTGAGCTACATGCCCATTGTGAGGAAAATTCTACCTTTATATAGTGGTATAATGGCTCACAACACATAAACCTTCTACAGATACTTAAGAACTACCCATCCAACACATGTGGTGCAAGATTTAAAGGTGTTCAGGAGTGACAAAAATCAAGGAGAAGTTGGAGGAAAATTGACTATTGAATAGACAATCATCATAGGTAAAACTTTGTGGTTGACTAGTTCCTTCCCTGAGGGCCTTGCACTCCACATGGTACAGAGTGTTTAGAAACAAAACAAGCAAAAAGCCTCAATCTTATTGCAGCAGGAAGCAAGCTTTGAGACTCGCATAAAACATGGAATTTGAAGGAGAATGTTCTGGAAGGGAGGGCATATGGGAGGTAGGTAAGGCATAAAACATATATAATACCTCCCCTCATTTTGTTGGATGACTCCAGAAGTGATCATCAGACATCAAAGGGTTCAAGGGGGAAGTAACAATTGAAGGCTGTAAACCAGACCAGGTGTTCAGTGAATGGCCATCAGAAGGGAGCAGAGCTTGATTTCCCCCCAAATTAAAGAGACTCAAAGACTTTTGGCTTTCTGCTGAAATGCTGAAAGGTTCATGCCCTATAAAAAACACTGTATCCCAGAATTAGGGCAAAATAGATTCCCCACAAAAGCAAAAAGAAAATTCTCTAGAAATACAGGATGATCTGCCAGTGTTTTAATTGACTGCTAAATTAAAATTCAGTATCTTTCAGAGAAATAGAACAAAACCCAGAGTCTCCATAATGCTCACACTACAATTAGGAACACGGAAACAGAAAACTATGAACTAAAGTCAATAGAAAAATAAGCCAGTAGAAACACATTTACAAATAATCTAGAATTAGCAGCCTCTACAAGTTAGAATATGTAAGCAAAGATGCTACAAGGGGTGAAGAAATAGGGAGTGAGTGATGTAGAAGGTGGTAAAACAGCGCAGACTGATGTATGAAAAAGGGAAATCTAAGAATTGAAATGCATAGTATCGAAAACAATAATATGCTTAAAAATAACATATTGAATATCCAAGAGGTATGCATTGCAGAAATTAAATAAATATAAAGAGAATTGTTGAGAAATACCACCATCTAACATCCGTTAGGAAAATGACAGGGACTATAATAGAAGAGACAGTAGAGGCATAAAATGGAATACTGAAAAAATTCAATCCAAAAAAAGACAGAACAGGAAAAAACAGGTGAGCAATTAACAAAAGAAACAATAACCAGGTTCAAAGAAGTAAGCCCAAGCTTAGCACCAGTTCCATTTAATGTAAATGGTCTAAATATTCAAAAGCAGGACCAAGTATAAGTTATATTTTTAAATAAAAAAACACTGACAGATTACAGATTAAAGGATGGAAAATATACAGACAATGGCAACAGTAAGCATGAGAAAGC